GTGTTGGATCTGAACTGGGTGGTAGATCTCCAGGACTAGGTTTGGGCACCTCTGATGCAGAGAAACAGATGGACTACAAGGTGTAATTGTTTATATGGTAATCAGACTTGATAAAATAGATAATGAGTTTAAATACAGGGCAGGAGTACTTAAGAATGTGACCAGTGAGTGTAGATGTTGATGGAACCTCCTGCTACAACAGTAGATTTTAGATAATGAGAGGGAAAATACTAATCAAACTTTGCCAGTAGATGACATATACTAGCCAGATTGGAGCTTTTTTTTTTGGTTCTTCATTTTTTGTTCTTGTTTTTTCCCTTTTGTAATCGTGAGAATAAAACAAATAACGAAAAAACAGACAGAGACATAAGAGGAACCTAGCTATACACCATTTATTAACAGCTTTAGAATGACCTCAAAACTCACCCTTAACTGAAGGTGAATATGTTCCATTCACCTTCACACATTTGTAAATCAAAGTGTTGCCACTTCAAAACCATGTGCATCCAACAAAACTGCCCCTAAACGCACAAACTGAGCACAAATCCTTAATGCAGTGGAAGAAATAAAGAGTTTAAAGATGTTCCCATTTAATAAGTTCTTTTATTAATATGAGTTTATATCTGAAGAAACCAAGAAAAAACAGCCCTGTTATCAACTGTTAAAATGATAGAGCATTTGCTGCTATTGTGGATGTTGATGGATGCTATAATACAGAAGAACATCAGTACAGTATAATTTGTATTTCAATAAAATCACTAATTATATAATGACAATAAGTTTGTCAAGGTATAACTCAACAAAGTTTGATTCCAGAGGCCCTTCAGCACTCCTATATATATATTTAAATATATTTTAAATATATATATTATTTAATATGTATTAATGTTATTTGTATTTGTTGTAATATTAATGTTTTTCTGAGCAAATAAAAAACATAAATATCACTGCCCAGATAAATACCTTTTGAAGTCTTTTATATGTATAGTTGCATATATATATATATATATATATATATATATATATATGTGTGTGTGTGTGTGTGTGTGTGTGTGTGTATATATGCTGTTGTATTTCCATTTTATTTCCTTGTATTTCCATTTTTGACATTTTTCAGATTTACATTTAAATTTATTACATGTAAATTTCATGAAGAATGGACCAAAAGAAACAGCTTGGAAAAAAGTCTGGTTCCATTGACTTACATTAAAAGTAAAGTATGTTTTTTCCTTCTCCTGTAAAGTTGCCATTTTGGAGATACAAGGTTTTCTTCCAACAGCAATATATATATATTGCTGTATATATATATATATATATATATATATATATATATACATATATATATATATAGATATAGATATAGATATACACTTGCACTGCAGTAATAGGTGAGATGTTATTGTGAAATTTGTGACTTCTGCTATATGTGGTCGCAGTAAATCATGTCATGTTGGGCACATGAGGTTAGTGTGTGGTGCTCTGGTGAACTGAAGGTTAAATTCAGAGGACTCAGTGATCAGATCTCATTACTTTCCTCCACTGCCACAGGGAAAGATTAGTGCTCCTTACACTAGGGTGTGTGATTTTTTGGCTCTGCCTGTTCATACAGGTCATTCACTCTTCCAGTATGGCAACCCATCATTTGACCTTCAGAGGGGACGACGTAGCACTGTAAATTATACACTTAGCAGGCAGATCTCAATGCATCCCACTCCAATAATTATACACTTTCTCAGGATTCTCAGTGTGAGGCCCACTCATCTGCCACACACTCACCAAGACCCCTCTCACAGTTGTAGAATAAATTTAAAGCGTTTACAGTGCCCTCTAGAATTATTGGCACCCTGGGTAAAGAGGAGCAAAAAAAGCTTTTGTTTATCTGCCTGATCTTACATTGAAAATATGATTCACTGATTTACAGTGATCAGAAGGCATGTTTAGTAACTAAATACAAAACAATGCAAAATTATTGAGTTGTTATTATGGTATAAGAGCAATAGAAGTCTGTGAATGTAAAAGAAAAATTATACTAAATAATAAACTCTAATTTAAAGGCCCCATATTCTACATTCTTCCTGCATTTTTTTTATGAAGACGTTCACTTATAATGTTAGTGTGGGTATATTACTCATTATCCCTTAGATTAAACAGGCTGTTTTTGTAACTGTGCCATTGAGACTCATAGAAGATAAATGAGCTCTTTTCTGATTGGCTGCCCTGTACTGTGCACTCAGAGCTGAAACACTCCTTACAACTTCATTGTGAAGTCATTGTGAATAACCTTATTGGGAGCTAAGCTGCTGTAGGCTGAATAGGTGGATAAACTGTATGTAATTGAGTTGATTATTGTGGCATCGCAGAAACAATGAATTCAAAACAGGCTGTTTTTGCAGCATTGTTTCCCTTTATGGACCGTTAATTAATTGTTAAGTTGTTAATTGTTTTTTTCTTTGAATAGTTTTCCTCACTAGAAGTTTTCAGCATTAGATCAAGCTAATATGCAACAAATCTGGTTTCATAACCTTTTACTGCTTCTCTCTAGATGACAATGGCATGGAGGTGGTTAGTCATGATGTTTTTTTTTCTACCTCACTGAATGTTGAGCTTTCTCTTATAGTCTCAGTTTAAGGTGAAACTAATAAACATCAAGTTTGTTCATAACATTTTTGGAGGCTGTGAAATCTTTCTATAGTTGTTAGTCCTCCAAGGGACTAAAACTAGCCCACACTGGCAGTCATTCTATAGCCAGTCCTGGCTTGCCATTAACTTCTTTCTTTCTCCTAAATGGCTTTGCTGCTGCCTTACTCACGCAGAAGACATTGATCTTAAATGAACATCGGTTGAAAAAGACTTCCATTAAGATGTTGTAAATCTCAGCAGAGTAATCAGTATGCACTGAGTGCCATTATAATACTTGCTTCAGTCTCAGAAAGCCGGAAAGAAGCCTTTGTAATCTACAGTAGGCTGGCGATCACAGCACACAGGCACACACGGAGTCCCAGGACTTTTAAGAAGGATTAGGGAAACGCTCTGTAACAGTAATGAGTGCTGGATGAATGATGTCTAATGGCCAGGCTCATCTAACAATAATATGGCAGATCTTGTGATGAAAGTGAGGGCCGGCATTTACTGTAGGGCCCACTAGAGGGGGCTGCAGGACAGCAGATGAAGCCACTGCAGAGCTACTGCAGTCTGCTCTCAATCACCCATGTATGACTCACAGATGCTGAGTGGAGAGATTTTCTGCAAATTTTTGTGTTTAATTTCTATTTATTTGCCGAATTGATTGGCATATTTTATATTTTAGTTTTATTATTTCCAATATGTTAAACGTAGCAAATAATTAGAAATTAAGCACTACATTTTGCAGAAAAGTAGTTTTTTTCCCTATAGAGAATGTGTTAACTTATTTTTACTTTAACATGCATTAACAAAACATGCAACATGACTTAAGGTGTTCAAACTTTTACATAAGACTGTATGTATTTAAACTTAAACTTACTCAGAGGAGACTGCTTACCACAGCCCAGAAGATTTAGTCATGCTTTCCTACCAATGTACAAGTCTGTTCTGACAGACGGCACATGTCTCAGATAGGATTCAAACCTGAATTGCATCAGAAAGGCCTGTATGTGCTCTGCTATAAGCAGAATGTAAAGACTGAGCATATAGAGCTGCTGTTCTCAGCCCAGGTTTGCTCTTTTATTAGATATAGACTCTAAAAGTACAGAATTAGGCTTAACTGTTGTCTAGAAAGAACATTATTTTATGATAATATAAAATAATATAAATAAAATAATATAATAATATAAAGGTTGCAACTGTTGTAATAGACCCATGATACATGATTACGGTAGATGCATTAATATAAAGTCTAAAAGGTTTCCATTGTCAGGTTCACTTCTGGAAGTATTTGCTGCAGTTTGGCTAGTTTGAGGAGAAAAGCTCATTATTGCTTGCAATAGAAAGTGGTGTTCAAACAAATACCACAATTATTGGCACCCTTAATACTTTGTGTACCCTTCCTCTGTCAACATTAAGTCTTCTTATAGTGCTGGATGAAGTGGGAGAGCACAATGTTATGATATCGTTTCTCCAGACAAAATCTATCCAGATCCTATAAAGTCATTCAGCTTTCCTCGTTTGACTTCACTTCATCTCAGCCTATGAGTGTTCAGTCGGGTTTGGGTGAGAGAATGGGATGGTCACTGTACAAGTCTGATCCTGTGGCCATTTTTGTGTGGATTATTATGACATGAGTCCTAACAAGAATCCAAGACAGAAAAGAAAAAAAAATATTCATTTATCTATTTATCTGAACATGCTTATAATAGTCCACTAGGTGGCACTGTGGCTCCATAACAGAGCCTTCTCTTCACGGACGGAACTGTATTCTTCAAAACATAATGGAAAGAAAAGACAGTGATAACAGAGAAGATGGAATATAGGGCTTTGTGATGTATGTGTGTGTGTGTGTGTGTGTGTTTGTCTGTGTGTATGTGTGTGTAGTCATAAGCTGGGCCTGATTTAGCAGTGATTTGTCACAGCTCTTTGGCAGCGTTCTCACTTGTGGTAGCATGGTGGCACCCTTGTTCTATAAATACATTTTGGAATCCGCACACACGGAGCCAGAGCTCTTCCAGAGAGCAGTTTCATTTACAGAGCGGGATTACCCCTCTTTCTGAGAATGGATTACAGAGGGCCCACCATGATGATCATCGTCATCATTATCACAGTGGTTGTGGCTGTGGTTTGCTGTAACAAAGCTTAGAATGTGCACAGCCCAATCGTACATCCAAAAGCATTCAGTAGAGACATTTAAATGCTCTGACACTCTGTAGCGTTAGTCAATACAAATGTTGTTCCATCATCTTAAACATTAGGAGTTTCATTTTAAAATGAAACATGGTTGATGTTAACAGTACTGAAACGCATTCATAATTGTGTTGTAGCTTCACTTATGATGACAGAACTGGTAATGATTATGCTTTTCTTTCCAGGCTGACCATTTCTGCTGAATGTCCAATGCAGCTGGAAGATTTCCCTATGGATGCTCATGCCTGTCCCCTCAAGTTTGGAAGCTGTAAGTGAATTCATTCCTTTACCCTCCGCTCTCTATGCAGCAACCAGCAGCTTATGATATTTCCCACTTTAGCCTTCACAATGCCAGCCAGTGTAGAAAAATAGAATAAAATGCTGCAAAGAACTGTTGCACATACTGCAGCAAAGAGCTTTTATATATGAAATGAGTACATTTGGTACATCACCCCTTATAATACAGTGTAAATAGATCCACCGTAGCACAATTTAACTGCTAATATGGTAAAAATCACCAGCATTGCTCTGGATTTTTATTCTTTTTGCCTTAGACAAGTCAATATCTTACTTGTATGAGGCAAAATATGAGCAGTTGTCACTGCCGCCATCAAATACATTAAAATTAAAGTGGTCATTTGGTTCCATATCTTAAATTTAATCAGCCAACACATGTTGGTGTGTTAAGTTTGCTTCTTCAAGTTTAGCACTGCAGGTATGAGGCTAACATAGCTAACAAATATTGAATACTCATAACTACAAGTGAGCATAGAGCAAACTGCATGCTAAATCATACGGACTTGCCTCCAGCTGTGTCAAGATGTAATCTCAAACAGACTTATATGTGATTTATGACATACTCCTACAATGACATACTATTTATTGTTTGTTAAAAATGAACAAAAGTATGTGTCATGGCTAAAAATTGTAGTAGCAACAGTTTTAAATCCTAATTTTGTCAGTTAGCTGCATTCATTTATTTCCTATTTGCAGGAAATAGGAAACTTGTTTGTACTTTTGTCCATTTTTATCAATAACAGAATGTCATACAGTGCCAGAAACCACACAAACAAGTCTATTTAAAATTATTTAACAACTCAACGCAAGTGATATGTTCTTTGTACAGTACTAAGTTTCCGTTACCTGTTAGCTACCTTAGCCTTTGCACTTAGCGCCAGTGCAAAACTAAAGAAGATACAACACATCTTGACTGAAAAACTATGCCAGACTGACTTAGCACACTAATTATGCTTTAAAAATCCCTCCTTACTACACAAGAGCATTATCCAGCCCATCAGCCTGCATATAAGAACAGAAAGTGCAGCAGTGGAGGCAGAGAGGGAGAGATGAGGGTAAGCGAGGATGCTGATGCATCGTTTCTCTCTGACTCTCTCCATGTTTTGACAGCGGAGTAATGAGAGGACTGAGGGAGTCACCTCTCTCTGCCCTTGTGTGTTTCTCTCTCTCTCACTTGCTATCTCTCTTTCTGAGTCTTTCTCTCTGTGGTTTAGGGTTGTTCTTGACTAAGTATTTTTCAGTAGACCAAAAGTCTTGATTTTCAACCAAAATGTGAACACATAAGTAAAGCATCATTAGCAACAATTGGGCTATAGACCTTGATTCTGTCCCTGAAGTGAAAGCTTTCATTTCGCTACATATGTTATGGGAAATGTTTTACATTTATTCCTAATGAACCAATGAATCAAATAAGCAGCACATCACACAAATTGCTGTCAGGATTAGCATACCTATCGGCTAATTAAGAACTAACTAATCATAACCAGCTTCAATTTAGCATCATGCGCATTGTTCACAGTTTTCCTGTGTTAAAGCACCATTTGCAGAGTTTATGTTGCACCTTGTTGGAAATTTGTCCTTACAAATTTCAAAGTGTGCTCACACAGGATCATTAATGTATCTGAAAAATCTATTTAGTGAAAAACAGTACTTAAATGGACAAGGCTGGCCATCAGGTCCAAACTTTTATTACACACTTCAATAGTCTAAGAATAATTCAGCCAGTTTCCATAGTAGCCAAAGTAGTTACTGAGTATAAACTAGCTATGTAGTTACAACCTATGTTTGCAGAAATATCTACAGTTTTTGTTATAACTCAAATGTAAAAAAATAAACTAATAGGGATGAACAATGACATCATAATCATACGGATATTGGCAGATAACATATACACTCTCAGAAATAAAGGTATGATACTGTCTCTGGGGCAGTACCCCTCTTGTCACTGGGGTGGTACCCTCAAAGCTACCATTGAAATAATATTTTCTAAGTTGTACTGACTCCACACACCCCATCTCGTCTCCAGACTTTTTATTTTACTGTTCTGCTTTAAATCATTAGGTTATGAAAAGGTACAAATACGTACTTTTTACCTGGGAAAAACTTATTTAAGGTGCACAACCGGACCTTAAAACCACAGCTATACCTTTGAGGGTACATTGTCATTGTTTATACCTTGATGAATGAAAAATGTGCCTGCAGATTTCGTTTATTTCTAACAGTGTAATTGTTAAAAAAAAATAAATAAATAAATAAAAATGTTGGCATCGTACAGATGATTAGGTTTGGTTGTTATTACAACCTGTTATTTTAAGACACACTTATTGTGCTCCAAAAGAGCAAAATATTTAGGTGATGCTGGGCTGCACTGCTAAAATAGTTCACTACATTTGCATAACACTATGCAAATAAATGTCATATTTCTCTGTAATGCTAATCCAGGTAGGTGTACCCCAGTTTCTAGATTTTATTAGCATGTTCATGGAAATTATTGGATATCAGCGTTGGCCCACAAATATGGATGCTTCCCTACAAATTAGAGGTCTGCTACTTGACCCAAGCCCGTCTTCGCCCAACAAAATATCACGTTTTGGGCCGAATTCAGGCCGATTTTTAGTGTACATCAGGCTTAGTTTGGGCTTGGTTTCGTTTTCTAATGAGTGATTTTTTTATGTAGTAGATTTGTTTTTATTTGAAGGGATGAGTCTACGTGATTTTACACACTCATTTTTATCTCTCGAGATGAAATTCAACAGTACATCAGTTGTAGTTACACTGTGGATGATGAGAGGGATGTGTTGGGTTGGTGAAATAGTCACAACACATTTTTTGCCCTTGCTTGTTAAGCTTGCCCAAAGTGCAGCAGCAGCGAGAGTGAGAGGAACCCTAGCACAGTGAGGCTAACAGTTGATTAGAGAAGGGTGGATGCTGTTCTCTGCCAGACACAATCAGCAAAACCTCAAAAATATGGTGATAATAAATACTGTTAGAGTATTACAGACAGTGTAAAATACCTTTTATCTGTTGCTCAACTCACACGCTTAGTAAAAAAGCAAAGCACTGTAAAACAGTGTCTGTGATAATCTATCTCTGTTAGCGCCTAGAGGGTTTGGATCAGGTTCAGGTTTCAGATTTAGCGGTACCAGTCGGGCCGGCTTGGGTCAGGCTGAGTCTTAAAGTCGTGAGTACAGGTCAGGTTCAGGCTTTGATTTGATCTGAACTTTACTGCAAATAGGAAATAAATGAATGCAGCTGACTGACACAATCTTAGTCGGCCAATAATGCTACGACTGACTACTAGACTTGTTGACTAATGCTAACCATACTCTGGAAGATTTGAAAAGACTTTTGAAAGACTAAAGTCTGACATCTTCTCACATCAAAAGACAGTGTCACTTTTTTTAGTCCCAGGCTATGATTTTGCAAAGACTAGGAATCTTGCAGTTTCACTATTTATAAGACTGCAACTAGATTTTTGAGATCATGCCCCATCATGCACCTGGTAGAAATTTACAAGCAGATAAACACTTTTCCTTCCACTCTATAGTGGTACAGATGGGAAGATACTTTGGCTGGGCATGTAAAGATCTGGGGCTCAGAGCAGTTCACTGTAGAACTGTATATATCATCACCCAGAATCTTTTAATTAACCTGTAAAATGTGCAGTTCCTTTTTTAATTTGATATAAAGATTTACACATCAACACAACACAACAAACAAAATGAGAAACCACTGTAACGGAGAGACAAAAAATGAAAAAAAACATTGATGATTCTTCAGTAACGCCATTCTTAAAGTTGTCTACACATTTCCTTACATTACTGTTACAGGCTCAGTGAACCTGAAATATTAAAACAGCCAGTTTACATTTGAAGTTAATATGATTATTGCATTAAAGTGGAGCATGAGCCAATGCTTAAAACTTGCGATAACATTAAACACGGTTGATTTTGTCACAACGTCAAGACGAGAAAAAGACTATCTTGAGACCGCCTTCCTGACCACCTCACAATGATCGAGATGACACAAGCGCGACGCAACTCTAGCAAGACTCTCATGATTTCATTCCGACATTGGTCATTTGTCTGCGACAGCGAAATCGCTTGAAAAGTCATTTGGTGTAAGGCCAGCATTAGGAGGACAGACCTACTGTGTTTTGCTTTTTTGCCCCTTTATATATTCGCACATACTTTCTGTCATCTCTTGCTGTGCCCTTAGAAAAAAGCGTACCGCACTATAAATACACACTACCGCACCTGTGCAATCCTGTTGTCTAGTGCATTAAAGAACGTTACAGAACGTCCACTTGAGCCTTCACTGAGCACAGCTGAATCTTATCACGTTGCCACCCGTTCAGGAGCTGGATTAAGATTATCACCTGCAGGCTCTGTAGAGTGGGTCACTTCAGGGCTGGATTAGGAGTGCCTCCTGCTCCCAGAACACACACACACACACACACACACACACACACAAATACACCCACCCACCCACACATACTCACACACACTATGTGTGATGAAGCAGGGATGACCTGTCTTGAACAGCTCTATTTGAAGTTTCAGGCCCCGCCAAATGGATTGGCTGCAGCTTGGTAGTTAGTCTGGGCTCACAGTGAACAGAGGGATGCCAGAGCAATGGAGCATGGAGAGAGTGAGGGAGAGAGGCCTAGACTAGTGGAGGAGGGTTCCCCTCTTCTGCAGCGCCACTGCCAGCAGCCTTACTGTGCTGTTAACCAGGGTCAAAATATGCTCTTCAAGTACAAAAGCGTTCATTCTCAGCGTTGTTGAGTTGGCATGCACAAGACTGGAATATGTAACATTTGCATAATTTTATCACACAGATAGTTGTCCAAGATGTTTGGAAGCGTTCCAGCAGATCATTGAATAATTGAAGAGGTCCACTAGAGTTTAAACTCAGTGGGTGTTCCAAAGCTTCCCAGTTTTTTTTTATTATTAAATCTTAAAACGTTCT